AGTCAGTCAGTCAGTAGTTTTGAGTCTCTCATCCATGTATATGTATGTATATGTAAATATTCTATTTTGAGACTCGAGTTGCCCTTTTGGGCCATATTTTTATCAGTTAAGTTGTTTATGTCTTTGCATGGCATTGAGTTATTCTGTTGAGTCAGGTTTCCGCTGAGTTAAGAAAGCCAGGCCAAGGGTTCGCTTGGGGCCAGCAATGGTCTCCGAGTGCCGGTCCCTCCCAGGGTGTAGGCTCGGGGTGTGATACCTTTATCATTAGTTTTAAGTCTTTGCTTAGCTTGAAGTTGTTTGAGACTTTAATTTTTGAAACCTTAAATTTGCTGAAATTGGTAAAAAAAAAAAAAAGTGGATAAATGAAAAAGAATAGGCATTCGTATATAATATTTTGGTGATATATGTTTATTAATGTTCTCCTAATTATATAATTATAAGTGGATGAATGAAACTACTCTAACTGTTAAAATCGGTAATCAAAACAACAAATGGAATACACATCAAGAACATTACTTATGAAAGAGTATCATGTAATATATCAATACATTAAATGTTGCTCAAAATATAATTCATTATACATTTTACCTATCTAGATAAATTTAGTTGTTGAATTTTGTAGTTTCAAATAATATTTAATCATCTAATATTGTTCAACGAAGAAGTCATTTGAATATAAGCTGACTATTCATTTATTTTAGCTTGTACTTTTTCACTTTATTCTATTATTCATTACAATGTATTTTTAATATGATTTATTTTGTATGAACTACTTGTATGAAACACACGTGCGAAGCACGTGTCCAGAAACTAGTTATAAAAAAAGGCTCACATATGTCATTTTCCTCTAATGCTAATGAAAATATTAATTTTGATTTTTTAAAGATTCATGTACGATATATATAATTATTTTAACAAAGTTAAGAGTATATTTGTTCTTTCTCACATATATATTTTTTTGACTTCTTTGATTCAATGCTTAACTTGAGTTTTAAATATCTCTCTTATAATCTATTTACTTGTCATTATTTGAGTTTCTTATTTTTATATTTTTTTTCTTTTATTATTAGTGTAAATATAAGAATAAAAAAGAAAAAAGAGTGAATGGAAATAAAGAATTTTTTCTTTAAAAAACTATTCTTTTGCCATTTGGGAGAAAGTGGGAGTGATCTCAGTGGCCGTCAAGATGAGGGAGGAGAAATTGAGATGATTTGGGCATGTGTAGTGGATATACGAGAGCCTGAATGTAAGGGTGTATGCGGAGAAGAATGGGTAGATCGAAAAAGTATTGGGAGAGACATGACATGATGCAACTTTATATTACTAAGAGCATGACTCTGGATAGGAAGAAGTGATCAATAATAGGTTGCTAGGGATATAGGCTTGTCTTGCCTTGCAAAGGTGTATGCTTATTAATGCATGTTGTAGTACGAGTTGTACCCTTGTGGTTCGTGTCATATGTTGTTTATTGTATTTCAGAAACAACATATCTACCTCTACGAGGTAGTGGTAAGGCCTGCACATACTCTATCCTCTTCAGACCCCATATTATTGTTGTTATTTGTATCTGTAATACAGTTTTAATACATATTAGATAAAACAATTTATAAAACACATATAAAACAAATTTTATTAATGAATAATACATCTGTCATATATTTTAATACACTTATAATACATTATGTCAATTTCGAACACCTATCTAAAATTAGTTTCTTTAAGTTTGGCATATCACCAAAATTAGGGGTTTGCTAACCCAAAATTTTCCCTTAGATCCAAATGCTCCAAATTGCTCAATTTCTGTTTCCATAAAAAAGAAAAAAAAAACATAATGTTAATATCTTTACTAATTCTGTGATATATTTGCTTTTTATGGTTCCATACTCGCATCCTTTTGTCGTTTCAAATTTAACACATGGATGAAATGTAATTAAATGTTTTCTTCACTTCAGAATGTTCATAATACATAATAGCATATGGTTAGTGAAGATGAATTACAGAAAAAAGGTATATCACAATAGATTTATTATTTAGTACCGCAACTATTTGACCAATATATGTGACAACAAAATCATTTAGATATTTTGAAACGTAATTAAATGTTTTCTTCACTTCACAATATCCAGAAATAATTCCTTCTCATCTTTGTCCAGACCATCAAAACTAAGCCTAAGCTTTCCAAGAATATCCTTGTGAGGGATTCTCTTCAGACGATCAATTATGTGTCTCAATTGCTTTTTTTCTCGTCCGTAAAATAAAGAACCCAAAACTTTAAGAGCTAACGGGAGTCCACCAGCATGGTTCACCACTTCCCTCGAAAGTTCCATAAAATCTTGTTTTGGTGATTTTTCTCTAAAAGCATGCCTACTGAACAATTCAAGTGCTTCATCCTCAGATAATAGTTGGACTTCATACACGTTATCCCAGACGTGACTGATCAACAGGTGCTTGTCTCTTGCTGTTAAAATAATTCTCGCTACCCCTACCAAACCACTCTGGCCCTCCAACCAAAAAATTCCAACTGTTCTTGATGGTTTACGTGATGATGAACAGAACTTTCTTCCTAGCGAAGCATATTCTTTAAAATATTCATCCCTTGATGCTCACTAGTTAGAGTCAATTTTTCACCCAAGAGCTTGCAAATGACGACTTGTTGTAGCCATGTTAGTCCATTTTTCTGATGAAGTTTTCCAACATCACCAAGAAAACAAACAGCTTCAAATTTATGGCGGTATCTTTGATGTAGAACATTTGCAATTTCTGTTTTACCGATGCCGCCCATACCCCAAATACCAATAGAGCGAACATCATTTGATTCCATATCTAATAATGAGGTTACTTTCTCAACCTGAGATTTCATACCCACTAAGCTTTCCGGGAAAGGTGAAATAATTTGAAGTGACTTTGGAAATATGTCTGTTGAATTCCACCATTTTGATGAACCTTAAGATCTAGGATGGAGCTTTGAGAGTAAATAAACTGATTGCTTTGTATTGATAATTGCTGATCTTTACAACTGAATGAATTAAGAAAATATCTAGCTAACTACCTCTATTTATAGCTGATACAGATTAGTTTACTAACTAACTAATATTCCTGTTATCAATTCTGTTATAACAGAATTTGACAGCTGTACAAGATCCACTATTCTTTTATTATTTCAACACCCCCCTTCAAGCTAGGTGGTGAAAAAATGTTTAAGACGCCTAGCTTGGACATCAAATGATAATGCTGAACTCCTCCAAGTCCCTTTGTCAATAGGTCTGCCTCCTGCTCATTTGTTGAAACATACTCTGGATGTATTAGCCCTTGCTGAACCTTTTCCCTTATGAA